TTGTGTGCCGAGGAGTTAGCGTAAGCCGCGGGAAACAGTTATAGCTGAGATACAGCTTGGCAACAAGGAGGAAGATTTGGGGTGAGCATTACCATGTATTCTTATTTAATTTTGCGGATTTCGCGTCACGAGTGTGTGTCAGGATCGTTCCCCCGTCTTCTAATCATTAATTAACCAATGCTTAGTGCGGGAGAGCAGAATTCGTGCCTGTAGAGCCACTTTTACGGAAAATATTCGTTAGAGAACATCGCGCCTCGTGTGAGAAATTTTCATTGTTCGACACGATTCAACTGCGCATTAGACGTCGCATTCGAGAATTTTCGGTTACGTCATCCTTTAAAAACGATTTTGGGAATATTTCGGATGATTAAAATCATTAATTAGGAGAGTCATGCTTGAGACATCGAGCCGAGAACATCTCTTGTTCTCTTGTTGCGTGGAACGCCGAGGTGAGAGCTCTCTCATCTCCGATTCCCTCCTGCGTTTATTTTATCGCCTCTAATTGCTGTTTTAGCCATTTTTAGTAATAATTAAATACGCCTGGGGTTAACAATTCGTCATGCGATTCACGCCGTAGTATTTAAGATATTTGGACACTCTGTGCAGTTTTCGTGCGTTTAGAGAATTCATCTCAAATCTCGGGTGCCGTGCGGACCGATAGCTCTCACGTGGCTATGTTATATGCTCAGTGAGCCTCCACTTGCAGAATGTGTCGAGCAGTGCCGTATCTGGGGTGCTATGCGCTCTGTGCTTTATAATTTATTTATGGGGGGTCAGGCATTATTAATATTGGAGTGATTTTCTCGAGCATTGGTCCATTTATTGAATTATGCGTTTATCGCCATCACTGTCGAGAACAAAAGTTCCTTGCGAATTGCGAATATTCGCCTGAGATAATTTTCGTGCCTTTTGGCCAAATTCGAGATTATTAGGATTTGGAGGAATTAAAATTTCTGGGTCTCTGCGTACGTCACGCCTAATTTTGTGTGTCTCTCTCTCAACCTTGCATTAATAATCTTCCTACTGAATATAGTTTTGGTTTTGCTCTTAAATTTACAGATTTTGAGTATTTATTTTAGAGTTTTGCCCAATAAACTTGTTCCCAACAGGATCCATCTCTCTGTCCATAACCGACCCCCTGAGCAGCGCTGGTAATACCACCTTTTCCTGGGATTTCCTTTCGAGACTTTATTTTGATATATGCCTTTGGGTTTTCGTCTCCGTTTTGAGAATTAAGGTATTCCGGTTTCTTCTTTCCGGAGCAACAAAAAAACGACTGGCGCCCAACTTTTGATTTTTATTTTGACGATTTTAGGTTCCAGGGGAAAATGGTGGGTTAACTGACCAATTTCATCCCCAGTGAAATTGGGCATGTTGCAAGCAATAATGACTGAATTTTATCCCGTACGGCGTTCCACCCATACCAATCACTTCCGAAAACCCTTTCTAATGGAGTGCCGGCCTTTTAGCCGGACCTAACTCAGTCCTGAAGCCCTAACCCAAAATCTGATCCCAAAATCGCTAAACTATTTGACCTAGTCCTAGCCCACCCCAGAGGGGGATCATTATAAATTGCCCTAATCCTTCTCAAGAATTTTATTCTCACTCTCCCTCCAGTATTTAAGACGTGCGTCCGAACGAGCAGCCCTCAATACTCGTTACAAATGTCAATTTTATTCTTCTGTCATTCAATTTAGGCATATAGAAGTGCGGTAGCTAGCCAGTCGACGCGTCGAAATTCATTCAGATAGTCGGGAGCCAGCCTATTACAGCGGTCGGGATAATCCTCTAATGCTAATAGGTACCCAATCAGCCAACCATTGTTTGCGAATGAGTCCCAGTGGTCACGCTATTTCCGTCAGTCGTAGTTCAGTTCTAAATTTTCAATATAAAATTGAAAACGTCAAATTTGCATAGGAAAACTTTGGAGTATTCATTTACAGTATGGTAGTCGACAATTATTATTTTCCGTTCAAATATGGAAATTCTAAACTTGAAAAGGGAAAAGTACTGTCGACTTAGGACTATATTCCTGGAAATCCCATGGCAGATTTTCATATTACACTTTAAATTTGGCTGATCTTGCAACGTCCAAATGAAAAATCAATTGTTTCATTCATAACATGAGAAAATAAATTTTCTTTTGAAATTGCCGAATATTGTTCATCCATCCAAAGTCCGTTCGAATATGACATTTTATTCCAGTATATCAAAAACTGAAAGTGTTGGATTCTCGATTTTTATTTGAAAAAATCAGAAATATATTTCAGATACTCTGATACGGAAATAAAATAAAAAATGAGTAATTCAACTTTGTCAATGACAATACAGCAGCCCCTTTCAACAATTACTATTTATGTACGAGTCATTTGCTTCACATGACTGGATAAAGGTATTGCTCAATCAGAATTGTCGTCAAATATTGTATTTTATTTATTGGATTCTGGCAAATATCGTTTGAACACAAAATAATTGTCCGGGGTGACTTCTCATCATGGAAGCATAAAAAAAATGTCGCCTAATATTGCTGTCTAATTCCAATGAAAAATTGATATTTATAATTCAAATTTATGGAAATTGCTGCTCGGCTCAAGGAGAGAGAGAGAAAAATCGAATTAGAGCAAGTAGTTTCTTTAAGTGGATGAGGCCCCTCCCGCAGCTCTCACTAACGAACCTCCGGAGCCGCGTGAGCCCCTGGTCTAGAGTCACTAGTGCATCTTCTGACCAATGCTAATAGAATTATGAACAAAAACCAAGTGGGTAATTATTCTGGACTTCAAAAAGGCGAGACGTGGATGAGGCACTCTAGCGGTAAGCCACCCAGACCTTCCAGGTATAAGATGGCGGGCCCGCAGCTGTTTCCTTCGAATCTGATGTATACATATATACTACATACAACGAAGAACATAATGTCTACCGCTCAAGAATCGAATTGAAGAAAATCGGAAGAGACTAATATGGCCGCTGCGAAAGTATCAAACTGAAGAAAATTGAAATTAAATGAGGGCAAGATCCGATCAAATGAACGAGAGATGGCGTGGCTGAGGAAAAGGACGTTAATTTCAAATCATATATTTCTAATTAGAGCTGAAACACAATATATAGAATACGATACATATAATACATATGAAAATTATTTTCTTCGAAAAAAAAAATTAGAAACTATCATAGCGAAAGGCACGCATAAAACTGTCAATTTTGTTGAAAAAATTGTTCAAATCATTGCAAATAGGTCAGTGACGATAAATCTTTTTGGTTTTTGCCTTTAACTAGACTATTCGTTAAATGAAAACCGATGAATATGTTTCTTGGTTATTATTGATCACTTTTCATTTGACACATAGTCGAGGTCAAAGAAAAAATCATGAGAACGATTATCCTTAGCACATATTGAACTGCTGCTAAAGGGCTCACTTAATGAAAATCCACTTATTAAATCTATTTCGCTTGAACAAAGTTTTTAAGCCACAAATTCGGCTTACAGGATTTAGATTTTTTTATGGATCATTGATGTACGATATGATGAACCTATGTAATTATAGGAAATGTAAAAAAAACTTCCAGTAAAGATAGCAGCAGTCTTCAAATAGTATGTTTCGGATTTTCACATTTTTGGGTTTGGGAAGTATGTAATACCAATTTCCAGACAAGAAACCGTAAGAAGCAGTATAGAAAAATCATTTAAAACATTCAGCTTCCACGATTTTTTTTTCAATACTTTTACAAAACCATCAAATTAAAAAAACAAACTGGGCGAACGAAAACAAGAGAAATATAATATTGAATGACGATCGGATTTTGAAAAAGGGTAATTACAACATAAAACGCGGGGTTTCATACCGGAATGCGTCATAATCATTAGAAACGAGAATTCGACCAAAAAAAAATTGCATTAAGGCTGTTTCTTCGTAAAACTGAGATCAATGATGAATAATTAAGTTGGTTCCAAATAAAAAGAAAACGGAGAGCAAGTATAATGAAAAGGCATCAATTATGTCGCGGCTGCGATCTGACCGGTTAAGATGAAAATTAAGGGGCTAATTCATACATATATTTAGTGAGCTTGGATCATTGTTATCAGGCGTCATCTTCATTCTACTGAAATAACAATCACTTGGAAGTATTTTCCATGTTTGTTCATCAAATTAGGTCTGTTCATTTTTTGAACTGGACATGAAAGCGCGGGGCCTCCATACTGAATCCACCACGTCTGGTGGATTTATAAACACGCAAGTGGTGTCGGGTTTAAACTACAATTTCACCATAATTGTGTTAATAGGTAAAATGGAATGTATGTTAGAATAGTATAACTCTCACGTAGGGAGGAAAAACAGATAAGTCTTCCCAACGTCCAAAATTGTTACCCGAGCCGAAGGCGAGTGTACTAAGCACGTGAGAAAAATTTATTTGCGTTTCCTCCCGAGGGTTGAACGCGATTTTTTAATACGGCGTAGGCAGAAAATGCAAGTTTAATATTATTACTTTGTGCCTGACAGGTTGACAAAAAAAAATTTCCGAATAGTTTCTAATTTTTTCAAAAACATTGTCATCAATTGGTTATCTTTCGCTATTATGAAAGGAGAAACATAAAAATGAAGTTCGCCCGAGTTGAAGTATCTCGAAACGCGCAGGACTAATTCTTCATTGGTTAAGGTACCTCCGCAGTAAGTTTGGCGAGATATGGAGTGGGGGTAAACATCAAACGTTCCGACACTTCGTGACAACTTTTGAAAAAATAATAATCGAATAAAAAAATGTTAATGCACGGCCAGGAATTACTCCGACTTCATTCCTCTCGATTTTTAGTATTGAATGAATCCCCTCGGAACGATTTTTACCCTCTGAAATTATTTGTATGCATTTATTTATCAACTCATTTTTTTACAATAAATTTGGCATCAACGCATTTTCATTTGCTGGAGTTGGTACGCTCGTCCCTCGATATGCCTCATACCATACTGTAGAATCTATAGTATAGGTCTTGCAGAAATTCGGCGGGAGTGTCAGTATTATGTTGTGAAATTCTTATGAAAATATCCCATTGATTGTGATAAAAGAAATCAGTGAAACACATCATGGCAAATTGTGAAAATTCTTCGAGAGTGAGGTATAGAGGAAAATTCCTAACAAAGAAACAGTATGAGCTGAAAATGACAGCGAAAGAGTTGGGGAAGGCTAACCAAGGGAGGAGGGTCCGCACTGAGATGGAGCTCAACAATGTTCCTCAACCACACAAACTGATAAATGTTGATAATCGCATTGTAAACCTCTCTATGTTGGGTAAGGAGCTCATATGTTCCACGTGCGAAGCGATTTTATCCCTGAACAACATTGTCAATGAAACGAAACGAGGGTTGGGATCATATTTGGAGGTTGCGTGTACACAGTGTCCGTTTGTCAAAACTGTGCCAACGAGTAAACTAGTGAAAGAACCAGACAGCAAAAACAGACAGAGTTTTGAAATCAATTACAAAGTCTCTATTGGTAAATATCCAATATACTTATTATAAATTATTATGCTTCATGATGAATACACAATTGTTTATTGATTGCAATGATATCCACAGGTTGTCTTCACGGTGGCATTGGTAACCAGGTACTGAATAAAGTATTGGGAGCTGCAGGTATACCTACCATGAATTACAATACGAACAAGGATTACGAGAGAAGAGTTGGGCCTGTTGTGGAAAGAATTGCTAAGGAGAGCTGTGACAGAGCTGCAAAAATTGAAAGGGAATTAACAATTAAGAATGTTGAAGAAATTGAGAAGACTGTGTAAGCCTCTGCTCCATGTTTTCCTTCAACAATATTGTCACTTCTTTTTTTTATTTTTTTCTAATATTTTTGTCACTTCCTTTTGAGTGAAATTTCTCGATTTTTCATTTTCTTTGACTGATTTTTATTTTTTCTGGTTCACCAGTGATATATTTCATGGCTTATTGGCCCAATTTCTTTATTCAGTCATATTACTGGAATCAATTGAATATCTATATTCCTACACATGTCTCCATTTTTTCGGAGTTGGATTCCAAACTTTTTTTTCTATAATTTAATCTCTGGTTTTTAATTTTTTAGTCTCATTATATTGAGCTATTCGATCAACTGTTCTATTGAACTCTTCTATTTTCATGAATTGGGATTTTCACTTATATATTTTATTTACAAGCCCATAGCTTTTTGTGAAGAAAAAAACGATAGTTATATTAAATAATAAGAGAAGAATTGTATTAATTCAATGAACGAGGAATAAAAATGAATTTAAAATGAAAAGTCTATAAATTATTGTTATGATTTTTTTTTTAGTTAAAATTACTGTGTAAATGGAAGTTGTTAGTGTGTATGTGAACTTTATAGGCCTCCAGAATATCGGAAAAATTTCATTATTCCCAACGAAGCATCACTATCAGGTTCAGGGATAGGTAGGAAGACTGATTTGAATCGACAAGACCCAGGTAAATTGCGGTAATTGGTCTTCGGGTTATTGGATTTACTCATTATCTATAATCCAGTAGGTGAAGATATAGATAGATCACAAGTTTGTGAACAAGCTCCATCGCCAGAATCATCTCCTGCAGTGACCAAACAGTCTTCCAGCCAACTTCAGAAACCATCTGCTCGGTGGAGAGCATCATTGCAGTCTACATCATCAAAAATTATAACATTCATCGTTAGACTGATGCTCTCTTTTGATTGTGCATGGTCTAAAAGAGGGAATGGAAGGAATTATGATAGTCTCAATGGCTATGCTGCCATAAGCGGTACGCAGAGTGGGCTGATCGTGGATTGGGCAACAGCGAATAGAGGCTGTAAGATGTGTGATATGGGACATCCCAAGGACAATCATGATTGTCGTCAGCATTTTTCAGGCAGTGCAAAAGCTATAGAAGCTTATTTAGCTCTGAAATTGGCCACAGAGAGCGAGATCCTCAAAAACAACAATTTGCAGTTGGGAATTTTCTGTGGTGATGAGGATTCCTCAGCAATAGCTGGAGTGAGAGCTGCCTTGGCAGGTTCACATTACGTGGTGGAGTTATCAGACAAAAATCACCTGTCCAAGGGCGTGAAAAATCTTTTGTATGCAATTCCAAAAGCTCAAGACCCTGAGAGAGAAATGAATAAAAATGTAATCGATTATTTGGAAAAATGTTTCTCGTACGCTCTGGCTCAAAATGCAGGAGATGAAATAGGTCTTGCAAGTGCCCTGAGGGCTATCCCACTACATGCTTTCAATAATCACAGCCAGTGTGGTGATTGGTGTGGTTACAAGGATGATCCTGACGATTATACACATCGTACTATTGGCGACGGCATTCAAAGTCCAATCTTGTATGGAGCAATCGATGCCATCTTCGAGAAACTTGCTACTAATGCTGGGAAATATGCTCACGCAGCCTCCAGCCAGGTTAATGAGAGTCTGAATGCTGCGATAGCTCGAAAGGCGCCGAAGAGCAATTGTTATAGCTTGAGTGAATCTATGGACTATCGAGTAGCAGCAGCTGTTGCAGAAAAGAATTAAGGAGAGAGATACCTGATTCATGTTTTTGAGGCATTGAAGCTAACGATCGATGAAACTTTACTCGCCCATGTTGAACGAAATGACGGAAGAGCATCCCAGAATGCTGAAAGGGCTAGCTCAGTCAAAGCCAAAGCAAATCGTCTCGAATTGAAGAAAAAAAGGAGTGCATTACGTCACCGTAGGGAAGAGTCAGAGGGAGTAATGTACGAATCTCAAATGGGATTAATTACCAACCCAGTCATCAACGAGCCATCAATATCAGATGATCAAACAACGGCCGACCTGGTGAATGAGGAGTACCAGGTAGTTTTTTTCGACTTGGAGACATCTGGATTTGGAGCAAATGCTGATATCCTCCAGATCGCAGCAGGAACTGGATCTGAATCATTCAATATCTACATCAAGCCCTCAAAGGCTGTTGATTCCAGAGCAACAGCAGCACATGGTTTGACTAACGTCTCAGGAGACCTATATCTGCATGGAGTTCTTGTTGAGACGGTGAGAATTCGCAATGCTTTGATGGAGTTCCTTGCCTATCTCCAGAATTTTTATAAGAAATGCATATTAGTTGCACACAATCTTGCCTTCGATGAGCCTCTTCTCTTAAATGCAATCGACAAGTATTCTCTTCTAAGGGAGTTCGAGTCAGTGATTGTTGGCTTCGCTTGTTCTCTACAAGGCTACAAAAGTAAAATGAAAATAACGAAAGCAAAGAAAGGTGAATTGCAACTGTCGACTTTAGCTCGTGCCCATGGACAACAGGTGGATGGAAACAAGACTCATAACGCTATCTATGATGTTTTCCTATTGAGAAGTTTCGTTTGCAAAGTTTTTACACTAGAAGAGATCGTTTCACTGCTCACCCCAATCTGTGATGCTGTAACGAAACATAGCACTAATAAACATGTAAAAGCCACTGCAAATTCACTCTCACCATTATCAGAACTGATACCGGATACTTTAAAAATAAGGATGGCTGAAGCTGGTGTTGGTTTTCACAATTTGGACGGTGCCTTCAAAGAACATGGAACAGATGGAGTTGTGAAATTGCTGCACAATAAAATCAAATATAAACCTCGGAGTTTCAACCTTGAAGAAACGTATAAAAAAATTGCCAATTACTTCGAGAATTGTTATGAATAACCACACAATTATTTTTATGCTTGTTTTTGTTTTCATGATAAGAAAATTCTGGGTTTATTCATCGTTATAGAAATATTATGCATTGTTCCACCTTTTATAAAAATAAAATTTGAAGAAAAAATATGAAATATGAACTTTGAAATTATTTGCAATGATATTCCCTAGTGCAAAAGACCTCGGAGAGTAAGTGCGAACATTTGAATTTCCTGCGAGCCTAACCCCCTTCCACCTCCCCGCCCGAGCTCACGCAATTCCGCTCAACGTTGCCAAGTTCGTCCGCCATTTTCCCATATTTCCTGACTCGTCCCCACATTTTTAATAATTTCTCAGGATTCACGTGATAAAGTATCAAAAAAATTGCTGGTAAATATTCGTGAATGATGTACGGTGTGATTCAGCGAAAATTTAGATTTTTGTACCATTGTCGATTATTTTTGGTTGATTTTTGAAAAGTGAGTGCCATAAGGTTCTGTCTTAATGACGTTTCTAAAATAATTTTTTACCAAAAATCTACGTGGTCAGTCGTTCTGGGACTTCGGAGAAATATTTCTAATGCATAAGAGAATATATCCTCAAAAATTCAAGTTTATAAACCATTTCCTTCTTCTCCCATTTGATTACTGCGGAAGTACCTTAACTCAAACCGCCAAATTCAAATTCGGCGCACGGAGTGCGCAGTAGATCTCGTTCGAAAATATGGGGATCATTAAGTTTAAATTGTATTATTGTAGTAATGTTTTAGAGTGAATGAATTCGTTAATATTTACCATAGTGTTCAGTTATAAGTAAAATCACAGCGATGCAAAATACTGTATTGGCCAACGTTAGATATGAAATTCCATTATTTGATGTAATAAGTGTCTGGCGTTGAGTGCCTGTCATCTTGAATACTAAAAGCACAATCCATCCGATCCACAATAACGTTAAGTAAGTAATTAATTGACATCTTTGAAACTCTCTATAGTAATAAAGCATCTCTTTGCTCATTGCAATTATGTTGTCAGTTTGGTTCAGTGCTTCGGTTATTTGATTGTTTCGTAGTAAGATCTCTATAGTATCAATTAATGCTGCCAACTCCTGTTCATGTTTTTGTGAAACACTGGGCCTGTCACCCATTGTTTGGACTCTAGTTGCTTTTATTTGAATCTGTAGTTGCTTAATATTATTCAATACTGAGATAAGTCCAAATTCCTCATTCGATTTTTCTAAAAAAAATCTAGGCAATATTCCCTATGAAAAAAAGGAACGTTTTTTATTATTTAAAAAATAAAATTGAACATTGTAAGCAAATATCTTTTCCGTTTCTTTGTTTAAATATTCCTTAAATGAAGCCTTAAATGAAATAAATTGTAATGATTTTTAAAAGAAGTTCCCACCTCACTGTTGGTGGGGATCGAAATTCCAAGTAACGTAGAAATGAAAGGAGTAATGTCAGCTTGGTTGATATCTCTTTGTAGATTTTTTCTAGCAATACCTGCTCCCCAGGCTACGATAGGAGTTTCAGTCTCATCAGAGGATCCACCACCATGTGATCCCCAATCTGTCATACCATGGTCAGCAGTAAAAATATAAGCAGTTGCATTATCGCCGAAGAATGCTTCAGTTTTCCGCATTACTTCCGCTATTTCAGCGTCTACGAATGTCATTTGCGATTCATATTCCCTGTAAAAAAATAGAGTCAGAGTTGAAAATGGATGATGGTAAGAAAAAATGTAAGAAGTCATCTTTCATACAGAAATAGTATATTTTGATGCGAGGACGGGAAAATGTGTTTTGAGTTGTTGTGAGAGTGATGTAATCCAAAAAAGGTCTCAAAAATACGTTCTGGCGAGTCGAACCCTGTTTTGCGTCACAATGTTCTTAAGTGGGATTTAACGTACGTGGAGCGAGCATAATGGATCCTTTTATACCAGAGGTGGGCGACCTCAGAAAAGCTCGAAGCAACAGCCATGAAATTATTAATGTTCGAATTATAGGGTACCTGAATGAATTACAAGAATTACTGTATATCCGCGAGGTTGAAATGCGAGAGAAAAACCATTTGATTTTTTTTTCCATGATTATTTTCCGAAAAATATCTAATCCGAATCACCATTTATTATATAATCTTGTGAGGTATTTTTGCCCTTCACGGAAGAAGGGTTCGAAAGGGGACGAAAATTCCTACAAATTGAGCGCCAGAACATTTTCTCCCAAAACGTCGCAAAACCAGAAAATGTTAACTGATAAAAGGAATAGCTGCGAATAGATCAATATAATAATCGCGGAGGCGACTGAGTCCCAAAGATGCTACTCCAGAAATTGTGTTGAGATGACCGAGTTCAAACAAAATAATAATTCAAATAGCGAAGTAAATAATAATTATTTAATAAAAGAATTGTTACTACATTAAATTAAATAACTGTAATGTATAATCCCGTCTCATTCTCTAATATATTCAGACCCAGATGCTTGATAAATACAAAGATAAATATAAATAATATAAGAAAATAAATAGACAAGTAAACGCGGCACAATACTATTTCCCTAACCATGTTTTGTCAAACAATAAAACACTAGTCCAATAGAAATGTGAAGGTCGGAATCAGTCTAGTTACTATTCAAGTGAAAAGATGACATAACTCGTCAAAAGTACAAACAGTCAAAATGGGTATGGTAAAGGAAACTAAAATTTTTACGAGAAGAAAAGCGGTGAGAATGAGAATGAAATGAAACATAATATCTTCGATGGATAAGTTGCACGAATAAATAGGACAATATTTGGTAAACGCACATCGGAGAATATAAGACTACTATTTCGGGTAAAATATGAATGAGCTAGAGAGAAATAATCCGCGGAGGTATTCAAAAATACAGCCCACTTTTTTATCGGACCTGCGAGAAAACTACTCTACGGAACAAACATTATGCAAAACTCGACAAAATTATAATATGGCGTCAATCACCACGGACCAATTAACACGAAACTATAACTCACTACATAGGGAGCAAAATGAAAAAAATCTGCCGCCCACCCGACTCAACCTCGTAAACAAAGATCTCGGGTGGAAATTATGTCAGACGAGCCTGAGGTTTGATCAGAACTTAATATGGCGATGGTCAGTGTCAACTGATCAGGCAGAATTTGATAAGAAACTGATCAGTCTTTGATTTACCCAACCTGATCTCTACTACAGATCAAGGCGTCAAGGAGTCAAGGCGTTACATGCTTGATCAAGTCCTGATCAAGTTGTAGGATCAGTACTTGACCCAACATCAAGTCTGACTTGATCCGAACTTGATCCAGACCGGAGCTAATTTTCCACTCGGGATGTAGCGATACCAAAAACTCAAAGAAATTCCTCCGTTACAAGTTGTAAAGAGAGCAAGCCAAAATCTCCAAGTCTCTATAAATTAACGTAGCAAAAATCAAATGAGTACCGTTTTTTCGCGTAAGATTCGTGATTCGGGAGAGTTAATTGGATAGCGTCAATTGGTCAATGAAGCTCAACTTCCAACGTCACCGCCGAAGAAGTTTGAATTCAATTAGTGCAAACGGTACTCAACTAGTTCTTCTCGCAAAACTTCAGCGACCTGCAATACCGAAGGACTAGGCGAACCTTCATAGAATTTTTTCACTTCATACAACCTCGCATGAAGGTTTAATAGAAGTGAACCTTCTTTTCTTTAGTTTCATTGGGTTTTCAGCCGCTTCTATTCCTCAACCTGCCTAATTGAGCTGCTACATTTCTTTTTATTTGGTTGTCGGTTGGTTTTTCCTGCTTTTTGCTTTTATTCCGCTTTTTTCCCACTTTTTCCTCTTTGCTTAGTAATAATCAAGTTAACACTTTCGAAGCAGATATTAATTTGTAACTCACACGCGCGACCTTCATAGAAGGCATTGTTAAGAATTTGCTGTAGGAGGGCATGAAGTAGTTTGGCGTGACAGCTCTGGACTTCAAACTTATCATGGTGGAGAACTATCGAACTAAACTGGAGACTTCTCATGAGAAGCGAGTTTCTCAGAAAATTGAAAATTTAACCCCTCTCGACAGCTAGTCAGAATTACGCTTTAGCTGTGGAAGGCACTGTTGCAGCTCATGGAGAAGGAAGGTGCTAGATCACTTGACCAGCTCTACACGACGTGCTCTGCCTGAGATCGCTCTGCCAAAATTCGCAGGCATATACCAGGACTGGAGGCCATGATCTCTTTGGCAACAATTTGGCAACAATCAGGACATTCCGGTGGTCGAGAGGATGCAATATCTCCGACTCTGTTTCTCGGCTGAGCCTCTAAACCACTTCTGCAACTTGCCCATATTTGAGGAATCTTTTCGCATCGCTTGGAGGATTTTAATAGATCACTACGAGCATAAAAGATTCACTAAATTCAGCGCAGGTGAAGTCTCATCATGCCTTGGACCTACAGCTTTTGACTAGTTCAGTCACTGCGACTCCCAGGGCTCTGACAGCCTTGACTCAGCTAACTAAAGAATGGGGTCCGGTTGTCGTCCACGTCCTTATTTGTCGCTTATCTAAGAAGTATCGCGAAGCGTCGGAAAAAAAGATTGGCGTGTCTACCGTGTATCCTACCGTTGATCATCCCCACGATTTCCTGCAAGGTCGCTCACGAGCCATGGAGATTCGTGAGGTCGGAATTGCTTCGCTCTCGTGGACCAATTCATCTCGCTTTTCTCAGCTTAGCATCTAGACTCGATCGATGATTAAGAGTAGCACTAAATTCAACCAATTGTTAGCTTCTCGTTCTGACCTGATCAATTGTCCAACGTACAATAATATGTATCCATACAGGAATTGGACCGGGCCACTATCGCTCCGATTTTGGAAAGGACGTGGCCATAAATCTTATAAAAGATGGCTTGCGATTTTTATCTGTATGGTTACGTTCGCAATTACTTATCTGACGGCTTCATGTTAGCGTATCGTCTTTTTGTTGCCCATCGCGATCTCTGCAGGAATTTGTTTTCACATTGTGGGACGAATTTCCTCGTTATTCAACCCTCCAAGTCTTCTTTAGAGTTCTTTCTCATTCCTTTAGATAGGGAAGCAGTAGTGCAGAAGGTTCAGTTTCATCTGAAATGAACAATTAGAGAAGACCTGCTCGCATTCAAGGAACTAACTACTTTGCTTGCTCAAATCGAAGTCGTACTCTATTCTCGATCACTTGAGCCTTTTTCCGAAGATCTTGAAGATATCTCAGCGCTCACTCCAGGACATTTTCTGATTGGCCAACCCCTTACAACGCTGCGTGAACCATCTCTGGAAGAAATTAATATCTCACAATTGACTTGTTGACAGCTCAGCCAGCAGAAATTTCAGAGCTTCTGGAAGCGGTGGTCCACCAGCTATCTCGAGCAACTGCAGTCTAAGTGGCAATACTCATTTCACGATGTAAAGATCGGCTCGATAGTCTTTCTGATCAACGAGAGATTTCCATCCTAATTCAGCAGTTGCTGACGGCAAGGTAGAAGGTGCGGTTTCCCACCGAATTAATTTCATCCACATTCGCATACTCACACACAGATCCCCCGCTCAGCTGTTTTGCTTGCTGGTCTCAGATGACCAGTGGCCTCTCATTTCTGATACCGGAGGCGCCACTTGATGGGCAGGCGTAACTGACCACCGATGATTGACACCTGCGACCTTCAAGCTTATCCCTCTCTCATAAGCACATCGGCCGTTCGAGAGTGTTTATGCGCATTTCACCGAATTTATCTTCTCTTCACTTTGACCTGCTCTTTCTAATCATTTCTCAATTAATTGTCTGAAATTTTAATCTATATTGCTCGGCTCATGTCATAACACACTATCAAGTGTAACAAGTGTTTCTTTTGTTCATTAGACTAGACTCTGTTGACGCTCTGACACAATCTTCCGTTATCTAGTTACATCTTAACCATCTCTCAAAAATATTCTCAAAACCACAGCCCGCTCCAAACATTATGAATTTTCGAAGAAAAAATTTAAGAAAATTTATATTTTGAGAAAGGTTACAGTAAAAAATTCAGGAAAATTCGTGAATGCTTCTTTCATCATCTATTAATCCACACAAAAAACTCAGTGAAATCAAAATTTCAAAATTTTATTCGTTTTTGTTTATTCGGAGAATGACGGAGTTTCTCTTAATCACACCACTTGGTTTTTTGAAGGTCTCGAAAAAATTTAAAGGAATCCTGCATTTTTCAACTCATGAAAAGCACCTTCCATGCATTTTTTCGAGATGTTCCAGCTCGGAGATACGAAGGTTCGAAAGAATTGTGAAGAAAATGCAAAATCTTGAGAAATTGACCTCAGAAAGATGAAAGCAATCATCTCAGACCTCATTTTTGGTAAACGCGTTCCACCAATGTTATTTTGACATGTTTGTGTATGTTTTTTAATGAAAAAAAAGAGATGATGATGGTTCAAATTTAACATTTATTGATGGAAAGGATGCTCGGAAACTTCAATCTGAACAAATTTGTTGTCGATAATTTGCCAAATTTCATGACCACTTACATTACATATGGTCGGGATGAGCTGTGGGTTAGACAAATGCGCAGCCTTCCACATGAAAAGGGAGAAGCTTGGAGAAGAGATGGAAAAGGTTCATTTGGTGGATGGAAACGTCATTAGACATCTTGGCGCCGAGAAGTCATACAGCTATTTTGACTTCAGTCAGG